CATCGGTAAACGCATGTCAAAATGATATGTTAATATCCATGTTTATGTTGACATTAATTCAATGACCGTACGATGCAATCAAACTAGCGTCAAACTGGACTCATGATTTATAGATGTGTGTGCACTGTGAAGTTCACATCAAAAAGATGTCTTGTGGTACAGATATACCCACAACATCACAAAAGTGATCCTCACAGCACAATCTTATTTTATATATTGTTTAACACAGTCGCAATACATAGTCTTGGTATTTATGGTATGAAGATGTGACTATTTTTATGCTCAAGCATATGTAGCGATATTTTACGTCACATAAATTTAAAATTATTATATGTATTTGTTTACATGGTTTATGTGGTTTATTGCTGGACGCTGGATGCTGGATGCATAGATAAATACATTTTTTATATGCAAGTGTTTTATAATTTCACTTATTATTTATATTTTTACTATATTTTGCAAAGTATTGCACTATATTATTAGCAATGATAACGTTGTGATGTATTACAGCGAAAGTATTTTAGTTATTATATTCAATATGATAATTGATCACTTAAAAACATTGTTAAATCAAGCCATTATGACTACTATTTTGATACAGTAGTTTATATATGTAGATCCTCCAGTTTTTATTTTAGAGTTCGACACAATAGAGAATTAAACAAGGTCATTTAGAGTAACAGCAGTCTATGGTTGATTGACAGACAAAGATTAACAATGGAATCAGAAATTAAGGTGCGATTCAGAGACTTATGAAGAGATACCTATTTCGTGGTCTTGATTTAACAGCACTGAGTGGCATACATATATCAAACATAACTGATAATTACGGATGTGTCTAGTGCCATAAATTTTTATATATAAAAAAGTAAGGCCGAAAATGTGATTGGAGAGAAATGTACTTGATTACTATTAATAGGTGTCATAAGCATTCCAATTCCTATTTGAAGTGATTCAGATAGTGGCTCCTATGGGAAATAATATAAGTAAAAAATATTTAAAAGAGATATAATTCAATTATGTACATCGATATAACGACAAAGTGTTAACAATGTTATTTTAAGTATTTAAAGCATTCAACATAAATCTACTGAGGTATAAGGATGCGAAATATATATATATATACTCAATACTATTTCATTAATTATACTATGTACAAAATATATAGCTTTCATACATATTTTCGTCTTATGACGAAAAAAAAATATTTATAAGTTAGAAGGGTTCGAACAGTAATGAAGAAACAACAACAAAAATTTTAATTGATTTATTGCAATTTGGCGGACCATACATTGTTGTTTTGAGTATTGGCAAGTACTTATTATTAGTAATCTTAGAAAATATTCGAACTCGGACGAGTTCTAAGTCTAGCACTTGCAGTCCAACAAATTATATACAGACTATAAACTAATTAAATAAAAATTAAATAATAATTTTAATAATTTGATTATTTTTTGATTACTCGATCAAATTTAAGATTTGGAAAGCATTTTAAATTTAAGACTATTCCCCGGTAGTTAAATTTTTGTATATTTTCAAATATTTTGCTATTTCTGAAGAAGTCTTTATCATAGGATTTTGTTTTACAGTTCTTACTTTATAGTTTTTTGCACAATTATACATTTTTTTCTTTAATTTGTACAGGTTTTGCTAGCTGAGTAGTAACGTTTTCAAAATGAACTGCACGTTGTTCTGGTGTTTCATAAGCTCTTTGTGTTGTATGCTTTATATTTCTCGCTGCTGCACTATTTCTAGTATGTAACGCAAAGAATGTTTTATTGTCGGTTACTTTTTTGTTATATCAATAATAAATAAAAATTAAAGTTTGTTTACTATTATATTTATGTTAACCTTATGATTCATTGAACTTATATAGTATAAATTACATATGTATATCTAAGTATAAGTATACTACTATGATATAGTAGTATAACACAGGTAATGTAGTAACGTAATATTACTTACTATTAAATGTAATTTAAATTTAAAATTTTAATGATGCTTTTCAATGTAATATGATTAATAATTTAACAACATCAATCAAATCGAGTGCTTCTGACAAATACGCATTTAATAAATTATTAATAAACTCGTATTATGCAGTATTTTGTTTTTTTTTTGTTTATTTGTAAATAGCTTAAATAAGCGATCGCACAAATTATTTGTGCATCACTGAACCCATCGCACCCACAGCATAAAATTGCTGTTGCAATATTAATATTAGCAACAATGAAACATCAACAACATTGTTGCAAGCCCACATTGCAAATTGCAACAAGAAAAAAAAACAAAATAAAAATGCATTCACTTTCAATGACAACAGCTGTCAATCGTGCGCTGCAGCATCTGCTGCCGGTGCTAATGCGGCTGTAAGTAAAAAGCCAACAACATTGATATTAATAAAAATTAAGAAAACACACAAGAGTCATGAAAGAAAATTCCAAAAAAATCAACATCAACACAGCATCAGTATTAGCATCAGCATCAGCAATAGCATTAGCATCGTCATAGCGAGTCTCGCTCTCTGGCCGTACAACAGAAATTCATGTTCGAGTGCTTAAACTTTAAAGCCATTGGAAAAATGACGACATAGCGCTCTTGTGGTGCCACTTACCGTAGGTTGGCGTGTTGGCCAGTTCGCTCGTCAGCTAGTCAGCTAGTCCGCTGGACCGCCACTTTGCCAGTTTGGTTTTTGGGCTATTTGCTGGTTTTACTGGTTCGTTGATTTGTTGCATGCTAAGCTATTTGCTGCTGGTAACTGACAGCATTGCGCAGCATTTCACTTTCGTTATGATGCAGTTTTCCATTTCCAACTCACTTTTTTCGTACTCGATTATCTTTTTATGTATAAATTAACGAAAACAAGTTACCGGCAGAGAATTTTCCGAATACGTGCTGCAACTCCAAGTGACGTTGCATTGCGACAACAGCTGATGCAGCGCAAACCTGGTTTTGGTGCCAAGCACATGCAACTGCAGCATTGCAGCTTGTGGAGGCGTATTAACTTTCTGCTGCTTCTCTGGTTTTATTGTGTGAAAATTTTGGTTAAGAAAAAAAATGGGTTTGTTACTTTCTGTAGGTTGCTGGTTTATCAGATTGCCCGTGAGCTGTTAAACGTTTTCGGTTGGGTGACGTACATTTTTCTTGCTCATATTTTTTTTTTTTTTTGGGTTTTTCTGTGTGTAAATTTTTCTTTTATTTTCTTTGACATTCGATGTAGCTGGCACTAAGGCCTGGATTTTGGTGAAGAAAGTTTAGTTCAATGGCAATGTCAATACTTAAATTTATCGCAATTATTGCAACAAAAAACAAAATAAAAAAAATTTATTTTGCTAATTTCAAACGTTCACACAAATTTTCATTTCTGAAGTGGAAAAATATTTGCATTTTGTTGATTTCTACTTAAATTTATATTAACCCAAACTAAACCACCATGTCAAAATTTATATCTCGTTTGGAGGTTCGAATAAATTTCAGCCAATAGAAGCCAAAATAGAAAACAACCAATAGAGTAATTGTTGCAATTATTTTAATATTAAATTAAATGACTTATATAAGAAAAAACGTATTTAATTAAATTGAAGAAATTACTGTTTCTAATAACTTAATCTGTTTAACTTTTACCATGATCAGATATTATTCTTTAAATCTTACTTACATAGGTCTAACTTTTGACAGAACTAGAGAATATAAGGGTGAAGAAGCTTGCTTATAATATAACTCTCAATGCTCTAAAACCATTAACAAAAGGAAAGTTAAGTGTGAAAAATAGAACTCTACTTTATAAGCAAATAATTAGATCTTAACTATTTTATGGCCGTGTGTTAGAGTATAGGGTCAAGAAGCTGGCTTGTAATATAACTCTCAATGCTCTAAAACCATTAACAGAAGGAAAGTTAAGTGTGAAAAATAAAACTCTACTTTATAAACAAATAATTAGATCTTAACTATTTTATAGCCGTGTTACTTATGGCAATGCTACTACATTCACCATTAGAAAATTTCAAACTTATTAGAATAATGTACTAAGACATATACTAAAAGCTTCTTGGTATATCCAAAACGAAGATCTACACAAAGATTTCAGAGCCGAGAGTATGGAAAAGCATTTCAAAGACAGAGAGACCGCTAAAATTTTTTGATTCTGTGAATGCTGACACTTATTTAGAATTGTACTCTCTCAAATCAAATGCAATATATATTCCATCAGAAAAATATGCTGAACTTTAAACAATACATCTATAAAATCATCTGAATAACTTATTGTCAGAATTCAATGGAGCTCTTATTACAGTGGACCATCCCAGTGGTCACACATAATATTGAGTTAAAATGCTTTAGGCACTAACTCCAGTTTTGTCAAACAAACAAGAAGAAGCATATACCAACAGGGGTAAGTAGGTTCTTGAAATCATCGTTATGTCATATAATATAATTTCACTAATGTATTTTATTTTATTGTACTTTACAGGAAAAGTAACTAACAATCCATGTCAAATAATGTTTTTTATAATAAAATCGAAACAAAAAATTAGATTGGGTTTGCCCTTAACTTTATCATCTCTTCTACGCAATATTTAATTAAATTAATACTAAGTCTGTGAGTAAAATTTCTTTGAAATTATAAAATAAAATGTTTCTGAGATAGCGCAAATACAAAAATGTAATTTTGCAAAGAATATTTTTATTTTATATTTATTTTATTAAGTCTTATCAGTTTATTTGACTATAAAATATAATCTTTAGCATGTGAAAGAGGCAAACATCTGTGAAATTTAATTTTCGCATCTTTTCATAGTAAAAAATTTTATAAACAACAGCTAAAAACACCTTGTTGGTGATTCCCATATTACTGCACAATGGTATATTTTTAAACTGTACAATTTTCTTATCAATGTGATTCCCTTTTTAATTGATAATTATTGTCTTCACAAAGAACATCACAGATCAAAAGTATAAAAAGCGAAATGAATCCGAAAATCTACACAGTCAACAAGAAATTTTCAACGAGTTGAGTTTACAAAAATAAAAACTATTAAGTGAATTTATTAAAAATGATGTCTAAAACGGTTTTATTCTTGGCATGTTGCTTGGCAATGGCTCTGGCTATTCCAGTTGAGTTTGGTCCTGATGATCAGCAATTCGATCTGTACAAATACGAAGCTCCAGAAGAAGTCAATCTTTACGACTACGAAACTCCAGTCTTGCACAGATCAGTACGTTCGCCAGGTGGAAATATTGATTTAACATACAGAAAGGATCAATTTGGACGAGAAGCTGGTTTACAATATAATCACAATATCTACAAATCTGATAATGGACGTTTTAATCTTGATGCCTATGCACAGGGTAGTAGAAATTTTGATCACAACCGCAATAACTTTGGAGGTGGCTTAACTGGTTCATGGCGTTTCTAATAAGTTGATAACATTTTTCTAAACTTAATTGTTTTCTTAAATTATTTACATTATTTATATTCCTTTCTTTTAATTTGTAATAATAAATAAAAAACCTTTAACTTTAAAAATGCTTTATCTTTTATTCTAAATAATTAGAAATTAGAAAAATTAAGTTAAATTAGCATTGCTAATTGTATCGGCCAAGAATTCTCCGATATTAATCTCTCATAGAAGAAAAAATTTTAAAATGCCTTTGAGCAATTTATTCAAAAAACTCGGAAAATAAGTTTGGGTTATATAGATAGATGGCGCTGGTTATACTATTTTTATTTCACTGTTATAGAGTACCGATCTTCATTAGAATGTCGGCAAATTTAACGTCTATTCGACTATTAGTTGAAAAGTAAATGTGGTTTTTGTAAAATAAATTTTATAATCTCAAAATCTATATTATATATTATCTATCTAAAACGATTATATTATATTCTCAGCGCTTCAAATATTGTGGTTTAGATACCAATATGGTTAAAGGATCTAACCTGAAACAAACAGAAATTGTTTTTTTAATGTACCTATAAAACTTGAAATTACTAGAAGTAGCTGCCATCGTAAAGTTATCAAAGGAATATATTTTAAATTAACATTAAGCAATGAGAAACCAGTTGATAATGAGGATTCTTCAGTTGCTCAAAGATAATCAAAAGTAGCCTTAATGATTCTTAGATTAATTTAAGCAAAATAAAAGGAAAATCGCATGGAAGTACCTCACACGGATACAAGACCCGTCTTCAGATATTCTTCAACCAAACAATTTTTTACTTGACAAAGGGGATACCTCACTTGCTCACAAACGATCAAAAATAGCATTAATAATACTCAGACATATATAAGCCAGATAAAGTAGAATTTTTTTTTGCAATAAATTAGCATGGTTACACTATTTTACTCTGTAGATGCATCAATAGTCAATGGAGTGGACAGTAATCGGCAAAACATCGCTTTGTCCAACAGTCGGTTAGAAATTATAAGTCACTGTGGTTGTACACTTGTGTCGTGTGAGTGGATGCGTAGGAGTTGTTCAATGCAATGCTTACAACCACTTTTCAAACACAACAACATTAGCGCAAAGAACAGAAAACTGATCTATAGCCAGATAATTAGACCAGCATTACTTTATGGGTGTGTCGCGTATAACAAAGCTGCCGACTCAACTATACAAAAGCTATAAGTTGCTCAAAGTCAGCCTCTCCGAAGACTCTTCAAAGTGCCTTGATACATCCGTACAAACGACATGTTAAGAGACCTTAGAATAGACCCGATCAAAAAATACATAAGGGACAGAGCCCTGAAGTTATATGCGAAAACTGAGAGGCTATCCTACTTAGCACTATCTAATCTTAGAGTAATCACTCTCCGCACAGGGAGGTACGCAGATCTTAGATCAATCACTGAATAATCATGAAGCTTATAAGGAATACATAAATTAGTCAATGAGATGGGTGGGACCCTGTAGTACCCCCAGCTATCAAAGAGTAAAAGTGCCCAGTTGCGCTGACTCGAAAAAATGATCAATATACATATGATATGTATATAGAAGTGTATGTAGATGTTGAATACAAGTCAGTATTCGAAATATATTTATAGTTAATTTAGGATTATAAGTTAAAAAAATATTTGTTTATATTATTAAAAATAAGTATTTGTTTATATCATTCCAAACGTATGAGCAATATTTTAATAATGTTAAACACGCAAATTTTTTCTTTACGTACTGAGTATAAAGGGAAGTTATATATATAATTTTATTATATTTTAAATTTAGCTTTATAAAAGTTTTTATAAATAAATTAAGTCTTTCCAAAAAAACTTTTTAAGAATAAATATAAAGAAAATATTTAACAATTAATGAGAAACATTTTCATAGCATTTAAATAAAATCAATAACGAAAATAAGTGTTGCTGCTAAGGGTCAATGCTCCTATAGTTGTATTATTATTTCTTATAACCATTTCAATTGTTCGTCTATATATTACACTTTAAAGAAATTATATTTAACATTGATATTATAGTTTATAAACTTTCCAAATATTAAATATTTATAAAAATTTTAGGTCAAATGATTAGAATAAAATAATAAATACATTCTGCTGCCCATGAAATTTTAATTGCATACGCATATATTATAGAATTGAACTTAGTCGTATAATAAATATTTGTATTTATAATATTTTAATACTACATAAATTTTTTCCAGTGCATAATTATACGTAATTCGTAAACGCGTGTGTTCAAATATTTGCCTACAAACAACCACATACGCTCAAACAAATATGTTAGTTCATATATGAAGTAGGTGTGTCTATTCGCTAGTATTTAGTTGCATGCTTTATTCGGTTAGTTACAGGGTTACAGTGAACTTATTTCACCCACCGTTTACATTTCATTATAGTTTGATTAATTAAAGTAAAATTTATTACACAATATTTTTCTTCAAAGATAGAATAAATATTTTATGAATGAAATGCAGTTGTAGTGAATTGTGAGGGGTGCGGACGTCATACAATTTCATTTACTAACTAGCCGTATTAAATATACTTGAGAGTAGTGATAGTAATGGAATAGGACAAACAAAGGTTCATATTTAAATAATACATTAATATTAAAATATAAACAAATTGATTAGATGCCCTTTGAGACAAGGTTTGAGAGAGTTTCCCATTAAGCTAATCAAATGACTTTTAATTATAAGTTGGTTTTTATATCAACTATCAACATATCAACATAATATATAATATTATAAAATTTAATCAGATATATAGATTTATTAAAATTATATTGAATAATTTATTGATTTTACAAGCAGTAAATCTAAAAAGTTTAGGCACAGTAGTGCCCAAGTTAGTGATTATAATTTATTCATAATACAATATATAAAAATATTTACACTTGTTTCTTACATAACTCGAATTCTAATTAAAATATCAAAAATGTGCCTCAAAAACATAGCAAAGAATGTTTGGATACAAGGTCTGTTAAAACTCCTAGTAAATTAATCTAATTGATTATTCTGGGGATAGCTTTTTCACTGGCTTGGAAGAGGTAACGAAAGCAAACTTATCGGATCTCCTCAACTTCATCTGGAAACCCTAACGGTTTCACAAGGATAACAAAGATAAGCGACTCGCCTCTCCCGGCAAAATTTTTGAGGGCATCACAATGGGCTATATATGCAACTCGCCTCTCCCGGCAAAATTTTTGAGGGCATCACAATGGGCAATATATGCTTCCGACAGGAAGTGCTGACAACTGTCAACACGCGCTTTCTGAACCTAGCCTAACATAACATAATATTCTTAACAAAATAGAATAGTAACTTATAAGTTATAGATATCTAAAAACCTCAACTTCTGCACATTTAATGAAGGTTTCATTATAAAGTATAGATGTATTTTTAAGAAAATTTCCATTTGAATAAAATACTGATTAAGTAAAATACTGCAGTATTGTCATAGTTATAAATGTATATATTAATGTACGGATATATGTATGTCTCATGAAAACAATTGCGGTTTTTATTAAAGTTTTTAATTTTATAAATAAAACGTTTCCCTTTAACTGTTTACAACCAACATATCAATCTTTCTCTTTACCAATTGGAAATAATATGACATTTATAAAGCATTTGTAATTTCAGATATACTTCTATTTAAAGAACTTAGAAAATACAAACCAAGCTGGTTGCTCTTTCTATACTGTTCTGCACTATAAGTGGATAATTAAAGAGAGTTTTGTAAAAACAATCACGCCTTCAATATGCTTAGCCTATCACTGATACGTATAATATATATGTTTATTTTATTGCTTATTTAAAAAGGTCTGTGATTATAAATAGATCCTGGATTTAAACTTACAGAATTTCTTTATGGCATAACACTGGTTCCAATAGTGATGTTAATTACCAAGTATATATAGTCAGTCGAACTGTAATGAAGTAATAAAACTTAATTAAAATAAAATTGATGAATGGATTAATTAATTGATTGATAGCTAATTATAAAAATGCTATATTAATGAATAATAATCAAAATAATCAAAATTAAAATATTTATAATTATAATAAAATTATTTATTCTACAAAGTTAAATAAAAATGATAGACTCAGTAAAAAATTGCACTTGGCTTCAAATTTTTGTAACCAAGTACTCACTGGCGGAAACTCTTAGGACTGTTCCTACTAGAATGCTAATTACTCGGTTATTTGCAATAAGCATTCTCGGCTACAAAAGATTTTTTTTAGAAGGTAGCGCTATGTCCTCTACTGGGATTCCCTCTCGGTATTCCGTTGCACTTCATTATATTCATTATTAGCCTTTTGGGGGGATTTTGTTTAAAAAAATTTTTAAGAAAAATTTAAAGAATCATAAAGTGATTTTTTGTTTATTAACGTGTCAAATATATTTTAAAATAATACCAGCTTCTTCAGGATGTTCAATATTATCAGTTTAAAAATTAATAATGTTCCAACGTAATATTTGAAGAAAAAACAAACAAAATTATTTTAATAAAATAAGTTCTTATCAAATCTGTTGATTTTGTTTTTTAATTCATTTTTATTAACATTACTCTGAAAATTTTTTCATTTCGAGCATTTCTTAAGCTATTTCAGTGGTGATTCACATATTTTGTAGACAATGAGAATTACTCGTACACTTAACTTCCTTATCAGTGTGATTTACTTCATTGGCTCAGGACGGCACTATATAAGCCAGTCCTATACTAAATTCTTCACAGTTATTGAAAACCATTTCAACAATTGAATTGCTCTCAATTATTAATAAATTATTAATTTTAAAATGTCCTACAAGTGCATCATAGTACTCGCCTGTTGCATTGCTTTGGCTGTAGCTAATCCGGTGGATTTGGTCATTGATGATAATGTAGACCTATACGAATTAAATACACCAATTTTGCATAGACAAGCGCGATCCCCGCAAGGAAACATTGATTTAACATACAAAAAGGATCAATTTGGACGTGAAGCTGGTTTGCAGTATAATCAGAACCTCTACAAATCCGACAATGGACGCTTCAATGTTGACGCCTATGCTCAGGCTAGCAGAAATTTTGATTATAACCGCAACAACTACGGAGGTGGCATTGTTGGTTCATGGCGTTTTTAAGCACTGACAAATGTTATTTATTTTTGGTTAAAATAATTTATTTTTTTCATTTTGTATGTACTTAATATTTATAAATAAAGTTTCGAAACTGATTTGTAAAAGAATTTGTATTATATTATTTGAGCTTGAAGATATTAGCACAAGTTTAGTACTAAGAAGAATATATGAGATTTATTTCTCTAAATGAAAAGTTAGTGCAAAATTTGCTATTTGAAGCATATCAATTATCTAGCAAAGAGAACTACCCACTTCCGTATTAGTGAATTCGTTGCTCCAAGATCAGTGTCAAGTACTGGCGTGTCATATCAACAATTAACTCCCAGGACGATATCTCTCCACAATTTAATCAGCTTTTTGTTAAAAAGCTAAAAAACTGATACTTGTTATTATGAAATGAAATGACGAAAATATTTTCTTTTAAGATGCATCAACTACATGACGATTCAAAAAATTTTCTTTTACCTACCGACGCCTATTGTATAATCAACTTATGGTTACATCTTTTCCAATTTGAAACTCCCGAACACAATTAGAATGTGTTTGTAAAGAACTGTTCACATAGTTTTATAAACAATTATTTGTACCATACTGATTCGAAACATAACAATGTCAATGTATTCTACTATGTAATCTACTACAATGTAATCTACTACTACTTCTACAATTTTAAGAAATTGGTTTATTGTTGCATATGCGGCAGCAATGGAATGATTTACATTGACTAAATTATTCTTTATCCTACATTTTATTTTATGTATTTAAAACTATCTATGGTTGCAAAATACACCTCAAAATCCTTTAAAGCCATTGTCCCGCCCTAGGTAGGTAGGTAGGTAAGTAAGTTGGAGTGACGGCCTTGTATCCAAAAAAGCCCACTTGAGCTCATATGATGACCCATTGTGGTACCACAGGAATGACGTTAGTATGTACAAAGATTTAGATCAGTATACATTCAACGCCGAACGAAGGTAACGACTCCCCCATTAGGTGAAGGAAAACCCACCTGACAGTTCAATAAACTTGGCTAGGTTCCTAACATTACAGGATGACAGTTCAGTCAGATCGGTGAGAAAAGGGGATTCGAAGATTTTTAATAGACGTTTCATAAGCGTTCCACTCTATCAACACTACAACCGAAATGAATATAAATACTAAAATGATATTACATATTTACAAAACCTTAAAATTTTTAATACAAATTTCAATTAAGATAAAAAGATCACTGCAAGATGAATTTTAAAAAAAAAGGAATAAATTTTAATTGATATTTAGTGTCATTTATATTTGTAATGAAAGCATACATATGTGTAACCACAATGACAATAACAGATATAACAATAGTACCAACACCCACAGTAGTTTCTGTCACTATTTAACGAACTTTAGATTTACTTACATTCATATTTAAGCATGCAGAGACCATGAAAGAACATACATTTGTATACATTCTTACATATTTAGAAAGGGCAATATCGGAGGTAACAGTGAAAAATTACTGACAGTGAAAGAAGAAATGAGGATAAACCCATTTTCAGATGTAATGGAGGTTAAAAAAAATATGAATTCTCTAGAAAATATTTTAAAAAATATTTAAAGTTCATCTGAGTCAGAGAATCATGACACATATTCTGATATAAAAGTGATTTACTATTTTCTTTATGCTATTATAAAGCACTTGTTTCAACTCAAACTTTTCTTATCTTTCTTAGTGTTAAAGCCAAGTAGTAGGTAATTCATATTTACTTAAAGCACTTAAGTGATGTGAATATATTATATGTATATATATATGTATATTATATGAACACTTAAATATATAGTTTTATATACTAACTTTTATTTGGAATATTTTTGAAGAATTACAATATAAAAAATGCAATAAAATTGTATTGCATTGTTAGTTATTTTTTAATATTAGTATAATTAACTTTAATAATAAAATATTTTTTACTTTTAGTAAGTAATATTTAAGAAAGATTTTTATTTATCAAAATTAGTAATTATACAAATATCAAACAAATTATTAATACTCTTAGATTAATTTTCTTTGTATTTTTAAGGGTGATTCCCGAGCTTTCGTTAAAAAAACTTTACATCTTTCTTATCAGTGTTTCAAGTGATTCCCATTTTAAATGTTCATTCATAGAACTGAAAGAATTGCAAGTATATAAAGTCTCATGAGCATAAGATTCAGCACAGTTCATAAAGTGAATTTCATATATTAAAACCATATAAGTTTAGAGTGAAATAAAATTATAAAATGTTAAGTAAAGTTCTTTTGTTGTTGGCTTGCTGTCTAGCGGTGGTTTTGGCTTCTCCAGTTGATCTGGATATAGAGAACCAACAATTGGATACGTTGCACAGTGAGTTTGCACCACTTCGCAGACAAGTACGTTCACCAGATGGACACGTAGACTTAACTTACTCAAAGGATCAATTTGGACGACAGGCTGGTGTGGAATATGGGCAAAATATTTACCGAAGTGATAATGGTCGTTTCAATGTTGACGCCTATGCTCAAGCAAGTAGAAATTTTGACTATAATCGCAACAATTTTGGCGGTGGCATTAGAGGATCATGGCGTTTTTAAAATGCGACACATGAAAATTAATTCAAGACAATTATAATCAATGAAAAATGCAATAACTATATTGTTTTGAAGTGAAATAAAGTATTAATTATTTAAATATATATACCAAATATATAATACCAAAGTTGAAATCTTTGCGTTTTTATTATTGAACGACACTCAACTCATTTATAAACAAAATCTTTCTAAAAATTTATAATTCTATTATGAATTAATTAAATACTTAATAGAAAAAATGTTTGGTTACCAAAAAGAAAGTGAATTTGCTGAGAATCCAAAACTAAACACAACTAAAAACTATTATTAAGATCGTACTATTAATTCCGTTATTTATTTTACCTATATTATTTAATATTTTATTTATATTTTATTTTGTTTTTATATATAGAGAGTATAAAATATTTAAAATTGTTATCACGAGTAACATATAATATCGTAAATTTAGGAAATCCCACTCATTTTATTATCTATCCAATCTACAAATCAGAGTAAATCTTCACTTTTCTCTATCAGTATTTGCCTTTTATCTCATTTGCAAAGTCAATACATTATCAGATAGTACAATTAAATTCAAAAATAACTAAAAACAAAAACATACGCAATATAATACTATCTATTACTAATACTAATTAAAACATAATACATATATATATGCGTAAATGATTAAAAAAAAAAAACAAACAAAAAACTGGGAAAATAGTTCAAATAAGTTTATTGACCTAGAAAAATTAAAGTAGAAAACTTTTCTTTATTTTTATTTTATTTGATTATGACTAAATTTTTATACCAAATTTTTTTTTTCTCAGTTTTGTTGCTCTCCTCATATACACGTATATATAAATATTTACACTGATAAGAAAAATATTTTCCTATCTGAAGCAACGTCATAGATACGCACCGCACGCACCAAACTCGAAGAGGCGCACAAACGCACCGTTCTTGCCGTATCACTTTTATAGATACTCGTACTATTTTATGAATTCTTTTTCGATAATCAAAATTTCAATGAAAGGAAAAAGATTATTTTGATAGAAATGTGCGTTTGTGTTGGATTTTAGCAAAAGGTGATTTTGCAGTTTTGAATGGGATTTTAAACAGCTGTTGGGTGTAAATTACAGGGTAGCGAAAATATGATTTATACTCAAAATATTTCATTAATAAGTACAACTGAATAGTTTTTGAATTCTATTTTGATCAGATACAAATAAAATTATATATAATATTATGTATATTACTAACTCTAACTAACTCTATACTAACTATTAATGACTCCGTTCGAGATGACAAAATATTAGTTTTGTTTAAAAGCGTACTAAAAGTAGATTATTGAAAGCAGATGAGACTTCGTCACAATATTTGTAATTATTCGGTTTTTCTCTGACCCAGAAGGGGGATAATCTCGCTATTGATGTGGAAAGTTGTATCCCAGTGGAAAATGAGAAACTCTTAAATTTTGCGATCAGTTATAGTACTAACGACTTAATACGAACAACGCTGAAAATTCCCCTAAAGATATTAAATTTTGGTCTACTGAATAATGGACACACTATCACGAGATGATATAAAGTTTCTTCCTCATCAGCAAAACCAAAACCCTACACAGTTATCAAGAAGAAATGAAGAAACCAAGAAGAAATTAAAGTCAGTTAGCAATATTAAGACAACAATGAATCGAGGTTATCATATTTGAAGATATCTCTAAATCTAGGAATGCGGCACAATTTAGTTCTAGGTCACAATACTAAAGCCTCTAACGTAATTATAAACACAATAAAATTATTTAATTTATTAAATCATCCTTGATAGTCGTCCTTGACCGCTTCCAATACCATTCACCAGCCAGTAGTGATCAGAAGTTTACTGTCACCAGTTGGTAGTACCGCGTGTTTTTATATCATTGGTGCTTTGGTCATTCCACTGCAGATGCGAAAGTTCTCTACTATGTTTTTGACATGACTAAGTCAGTGAATCCGCTGAACTTTTATACGGTTAATTATGTCAATATCGTGATAGCTTGTACAGCTCATGGTTCCATTTAATTCGACACCCTTTCCCAACAAGATCATTCGAAGAAGTTTCATAGATTTTCTGAAATATTTTTTTTGTCAAATGCTGCTCCCAAAGTCTTCTTCTCACTTTTATTTATTGTCCAAACTTTGGCACCATACAGCTAGGCAGACATGACTTGTAGAATTTGATTTTTGTTTGTCGAGTCGGGCCTCAATTGCCTACTTAGCCTTAAGTAACATCTGTTGGCAAGAATGATTCTTTGTAAAATCGCTTGATTGATGTCATTTTTGATGTTTAAACTCAAAAGTCTTTTACAACTTCGAACAAATAGTTGTCAATAGTGGCGTAGGCCCCAAGATATTGGGAAAGTTTCTTTATTGACGTAATGTACATACTTTAAATAATATGTTTTACCCTTCCGAATTATAATTCATTGGATACAGTATTCATTTATTTAACATATATATATTTTACACAGTTTTAATTATTATATTGTTGTATGCCTAGTAGCTCACACACTGACTTCTACAAGTTACAGTAGGGCTTCGCTGCAGGGTTGTATTTACCTTCAATACTATATTATTTGTATAAAATTGACGGATTTTGCATTGCAATTTAGAGATCTATTGTGTTTATTGCATAGACTTGGAGATTCAAAGTAAAAGTTCCACAATAAATTTTATTATAGAACCCACTTTATCGAGAGTATTATTTTTCAATTTATTAATGTATTAGATACAATTTATTTATGTCGTAGGTTGAACAAAAAGAAAGCCTACGCCTGGAATTTCCGAAAATTCAGTTGTTAATTTGTAGTTGTAAATTAACATATTGAAAAATTAATATAAATGGTAATTAAATTCCACATAATTTGTTATGCTAAGGCACGTGTTACTTAAAGTTACTTTTTTGTATTTTTCTGTTCAAAAAGTTAATAAAAATTCATGCAAGCGTTAATCAAATAAAAAGAAAAAATCATGTTTTATGTTCGAAATGCCGCTTAAAACTTTCTAATTTGTTGCTGTTTCATTCATTGACTAAAATATAAAAAAAAAAAAATTAAAAAATATCGTCATAGAAAAAATCAAATAAAAAGAATTTTTGATCGCAACTGATAAAAAATATTTAGGAAAGAAAAATTAAGAAATATGTATATACATATATATATATATTTATTTTTTATATACTTAAAAGCCGCTCACATGTTAAAACGCCAGCAGGGACAGATATGCGGCGTACGCACGCTTTCAAAAATAAATTAAATGATTATTTATGATGCCAAATTTTATTTTGTTTGCAAAAAATTAATAAAGAACACAAAAGCAAATAAATTAAAATACAATTTTTTGTTTTTTGAATAGAAAAAAAACTTACATAAAAATTGAAACGCAAAATTTTGCATGTTCACGCATAAAATTTTTTAATTTTTTCGGCAAACGCGTGTTTAATACAACAACCACTTAAGGTCAAACTTTAGAGCAACAAAAAAAAACATACATATGAAGTAGCATACGAAGCTGTACAGTCGGTCAAATAAACTAAAAGCAATGAAATAAACCAAGCCTCAAAACCAAGCAACGAACTTAATGTGGTTGTATTCGGCGTATGAGTAATTTTTATTAATTACATATTTAGTGTAGCGACTTAACGTTTTTTTTTTATTGTGATTTGACTATAAAAGCAATATTAAACACAACATTAATAATAATAGTAAAAAGCACAAAAAGAAAACAACAACAATAACAATAAACACAAAAAGAACAAGTAGAAAACCAATAGTAAAACACAGCATCCAATGGAATAAGTAAAATAATAAAAACAACCAAAACAGCAAGTAGATATCATATAGTAAAGAAGTAAAGAAGCAATCGCCGTCGTCGTCTTGATCGCTATTCTTGTTCTTGTTCTTCGTGTTCGTGCTGTTTTTGTTGTAGCTCGTCTTGTTGTTATTGTTGCTTTCGTTATTGTGGTCGTACTTTAAGTCAAGTTCAAGGACTGTCAATTAAATTAAATTAAATACAGCAACTGAAAATGAAAAGAAAGCAAAAAGTAAAAAACATAAAGATGAAAAGTAAAAAAAAAAGAAAAAAAACACTTATGAAGTGCAAAAAAGTGATATTTAAGAAAAAAATTTTTTTTTCAAATAAAAAAGTAAATAAATAAAAATTACTTTAAAGCTTAACAGCATTAGGTATTCCGTTTCTTCAGATTTTAGTATTTATATCAGCAGCTTCAGAAACTAACGTTGCTCAAATCGTTAGCATTTGTGTTGTTTTGAGTTATGGCAGCAGATTTTTCTGCTCTGCCGCTGTTCTGTTCAAGTGCTCAACTGATCAACTGATCAACTGTTGCTTTCCAAAATGATCATGTTGTTTTTAAAATGAGCTGTTTGGACTTGTGTGAAGAATTGCAAATTGAAGTAGCAAAAGCGGCAAAATAACAACAGCAACAGCAACAGCAGCAACAACAACAACAATGAATAGTACATAATTGTAGCATGAGTTCGTCTTTTATGTGTTTGCTTGAAGAAGGAAGCACAACAGACACAGTATCGTATTTGCGGCATGGTTTGGCGCGTTGCTGCTGCGTTTTAAATAAAATAGTAAAAAATATATGTGCGTTCAGTTTGAGTTGAAGGATGCTGACTTATTAAAAAAGCGGCAGCCTTTAATTTGCATCTTAATAAATGATGGGTTAGGCTGGCACTATTTAGTATGGAAATTATGGGTATTAAAATGCATAAATTTAAGCCTTTAATCGCTTTAAACTGCAATTTGGTGTTGAACTAAGTTAATATCATAATATCTTTTAGGATATTAAGTAACAAAAATAAATTTTGCGTGTTATTAAACATTTTTATGATCAATAATATAAGATTAGCTCTTTAGCAGCTGCTGACGTTTTAAAAATTGAATAAAATAAAAAATTTTTTTTGTCTAGAAAATTAATGGAAATTTGACACGTAAGTCTACTATTGAAAAAAATTTTTTTTTCATCAATATTTTGGTATTTATTTTTGCTAAATATTTGATAATTTTGATTATTTATTAATTTTTAAGATATTTGGTTTTTATTTGTTTCAAATACTTAGATTTGCAACACAAAAATAACAT